ATATATATATATATATACATGCACACAGACACACAAAGGTTGATCTTGGCGGACCTTTGTCTTTATTCAACCTCAAATACTATGTAACACCTGCTCCCAGTGCCTGAAACATGATGCCACCAGAGCTTCTGTTTATCAACTTCCCTTAACCACTTGAGGATTTTGAATGTCAGAAATACGTCCTAAAAAACTTCAACAAGGACACATCTTTTACGTCCAGCTCCTCTCCCCCTGCCACCCCTCTCCCCACTGCTATTAGTGGCTGTCAAAATGACAGCCGGTGATTGCTTTGAATTACATAGAATGTCAGAAAGCAGTCGGAACTACAAGTGTCATTAAAAGAGAACTATGGGGGTCAGTGCTTTTCCCCATAGTTCTCCTTAGGGTAATAGAGGACATATACTAGCGTCCTCCCGTCACCCTGAGCTCAGTATACCGCAAGCTACAGCTCGCGGTATACTGAGACCGCTGCAGCCGGGACGGATCCTGACATTACTGTCGAGATCCACCCAGCTGCGTGAGTGACAGCTGGCTCTGCCTATCTCGAGGTACCCGCCCCGTCCGTTTCTTCCAGTCAGCGCTGGATGATCGGGGAGGGGGGGGAATCCCTGCAGGTAGCCGTAAGTGACAGTCACGGCTCTCTGCAGGGACATGATCGGAAAGTGAGCGAGCGACGGTATGTGTTCACTCACTTCCGGGTCTATTGAGCCGACGTGTGACAGTTTCATTGTCACACGTCGGCTCCAACTGTGAGGCTAAGTGATTTTCACTCACCTCATAGTTCTCCTTTAAGTAAATACAATGTATCGTTCCTTTGTATTTACTATTCCATTCATATATAAATCCAGGCCCATATGGGAAAAAGTCAAAATGTATCTGCTCCATAAGGGGTGGGTGCTGAACCGCTTTGCACCGTTCAGGGCTCATGTCCCACTGATATTCACTACGGCATTTCCCAGCAGTTTCTTCCTTTGTCCCACCTACTACCAGGATACCTGGTGTCGGTGAAGCCTAAAAGGTGCAGTGACCTTGTGCCATGCGACTACCAATTGGATGCTAGGCCTGAGCACTGTCACTTGGGAGGAGGTCACATGCTCAGCCATACCTGGAAGCACTGGGTATTTTTGCAGTGACTGCAGTAGAGGAAGGAATGGCGGGGAAGCGCTGGAGAGGCGAGTATCAGTAGGGTACCTGTTAGTTTGAAACCTTAAAGTAGAACTATGAGGTGCGTGCTTTTCAGTCATCCTCATAGTTCTAGCCGACCTGTGACAATGAGACTGTCACAGGTCGGCTTAGTAGATCAGGAGGTGAGCGAACATATACCGGCGTTCGCTCACCTCTCGATCCTGTCACGGCTCTCTACAGGACAGGTGAGGGGCTGGATTCCCCGCTCCGATCCTCCAACGCTGACTGGCGGAAACGGACGGAGTAGGGGGCGGGTACAGCTGGCTCTGCCTCTAGATAGGCAGAGCCAGCTGTCACTCACGCAGCTGGGCGGATCCAGACATAATTGTCGGGATCCAATTCAGCTGCGGCATCTCAGTATACGGTGAGCTGTAGTTCGCAGTATACTGAGCTACGGGTGACGGGAGGACGCTAGTTTGTGTCCTCCCGTTACCCTAAGGAGAACTATGGGGAAAAGCCTTAACCACATAGTTCTCCTTTAAGTCCTGACCGGGTCTTCATTTTTTTTTCTTTGTGTGCACTGCATGCTGCTTACGCTCCCGACGTCTGTAAAATGCCAAGGATGGCGCAGGGTGCCATGATGATGTGCGCATGCAGTGGTGACCACCAATGGCCAGACACGGTAAAAATGGCTGGAGGAAGGCTGATCTAGAGGTAAGTCTGCCAAACTTGCACATGATGGTGAGGACTCCCCTCTCAGCAGATGGTTTAGCTTTTAAAGGAAGCTTGCCTTTCACTGACCTCCATCTGAAAATGCCATCCAGGTGCCTGTCAGCGGTCCCTCTACTTCCCAATCAATGCACCAGAACCCGCCCGCAGCTTTTAATTTTTGTTCTATATTCCAGGTTCATCGTCTGAGGTCGGTGGACAACCTGTTCGTTATAGTTCAGGAATTTTCAGATTTCCCCTTCAAGGCCTCGAAGGTCAGTCCAAGAACGAAGTTCCGATCCCATGGGGGGGGGACAATTTTATAAAATATAAGTCTAGTGTTACCGCCGTCACCTTTATAACAGTGATGTTGTGTGTCTTTGTAGGAAGATGCTCTGGAGGACTTTAAAGAACTGGCTTCGAGGCTGCACTGGGAGAAGGCCTTGAAGACCTGGGAGCTCAACAACAACCTAAAGAAGAAGAAAAGGAAAAAAAAACCTGACAAGGAGCGCAAACTGCAGGCGGCGGCGGCCCCTGCCGCTGATGGGAAGGCGGCGGCTGACAAAGAGACGGTGGCCTCACCTGCAGCAAGGGAGGAGTCTTACAGCTTAGACCAACAGGTGGCGGAGAGCTCGGAGGCTTCGGCTGAGGATCTCAGTCCTGAGGCTTCATCAGAAGACGGTGTGCTGGGCGTTGGAGGGGACGGCGCCAGGGAGGAGACCGGCAGTGTCCTGAAATTCCGTGTCACCTGTAACCGAGCCGGAGACAAGCACAGCTTCACGTCGAACGACGCCGCCAGGGATTTCGGTGGAGCGGTACAGGATCACTTCCAGTGGAAGGCCGACATGACCAACTTTGATGTGGAGGTGTGTGTATGGCGGCCAACTTGTGCCGTGAACAACGGTGACACACGTATGAAGCCACTTTTAGGAAAGGGTTAAAACCAATGTCGGTTTATTTTTTGCTGTCAGTGTGATTTTTTTTTTTCCCCCCTCACTTCCTGCCCTGAAGACCCAACAGGAAGTTAGAGGAAACCTCACCAAAGTGGGGTGAATTCCCCTTTTTTTGGAGAGTTGTCACCAGGACAAATGTCCCCATCGGAAGATATCCATTCACCTGCTGTCCCGGTGACAACTGGTCATTTTTGGCTCTTCCCATCACGTTCTGTCACTGATAATGGTCACCAGGACAAATATAGCGGGCACGCTTGTGACAGGGGTGCTAACCCTTCCCTACTCCATCCAAAAATAGGGGAAAAAACTTTTGGCTTCATGCACAATTTTACATTATGAGAAGCTGAAGTTTATTCTGCTTTTATTTAGCCTTCCCTGGTTCCTCCTCTCCTAGTTTCTCCACCCCTTCTGCCTCCTGCAAGTCCTTTGGGCCAGTGAAGCAACCCATTATAGTACTGGGCCAATAGAAATGTATGAGGGGCTGGAAGGATTCCCAGAGCACTATGGGGGGTTTTCCAACGAGAGTGCAGAGTAGAAGCTTCCTTTTAGACACTTTCTCTCTCTAATTGACACTTTGAACTGTCTAAAAGGAGTAAGGGGAGGAGCCACTTATTCACTTCTGCATATAAATTACAGCTTTAGGCCCCATTCACATGGGGGGTGTTGCCCCGTATAGAGTGAAAAGACGTTCTTTGGTGTGGCTGGAGCTTTAGGAAGAAGCATGCAGGCAGCTCATGTAACTCTATGAAGACTCAGGAGCTGTGCACCCTCACACGTTGCTTCGCACAGCTCCGAGTTTTGACAGGTGCACATAGACAGTGTAAGGACCTGGATCCATCATATCTGCATCCAAGACCATACACTGTCTGTGTGCGGCCGTCAAACTCTGAGCAGCGCGTGAGGGCGCACAGCTCCTGCACCTTCATAGACTTACATGAGCTGCCCACAGCTCTGAGTGCGGGAAAAATTGGCTCTTCCTGCTGTACAGGACAAGGAGAAGGAGTGAATGGAGCCGATGATGCTAAAAAACATTTTTTTGTTTTCAGCAGAGAAGAGAAGGATTGTGGGGAAAATGTGAAAAGGAGTCTAGAGCTCCACCTACTGGCTTCATGTGGAACTACAAGCGATCCATATTTACCTAGCAAATAAAAAAAAGAAGGAAAAATACACTTTAAATTGTATTCTTTAATTGTAACATTATGAATATACTGTGTGTGTGTGTGTGTGTGTGTGTGTATATATATATATACACAAAACGATTATATATTCCCTTTAAATTCATTAAAATTGCGTTAGAAATGTTGTAACAAGAAGGGGGCGGGGTCTTCGCTTGCCTTTCTCTCCCCGTTTGCAGTTTCTGGCTTTATGTTCCTCCAGGTTCTCCTGAACATCAGTTACAATGAGATGTTGGTGGGAATCGCGCTGACGGAGGAGAGCCTGCACCGGCGAAACATCACGCATTTCGGGCCCACCACGCTGCGCTCCACACTCGCCTACGGCATGCTCAGGTGGTCCCCAAACTCCTTTTCAGCCCCATCTTTTACTAATTGAGATGTCCTCTTACCTTATTGCTGCGTCCTTTGTTTTCCAGACTGTGTGACCTGGAGCCGTCCGATGTCATAGTGGATCCGATGTGCGGGACGGGAGCCATCCCTATAGAGGTAACATCTTGTCAATGGGCCCCGTTTGACACAGTGCTCTGCGGTGCTTATGACCACACCGGAGTCTTCCTTTAATGCACTTTTTTTGTTGTTTATAGCCCCACATTTTAGATGTTTGCTTGACAATGCTTTAAAATACCTTTTTTTTTTTTTTTTTTTTTTTTTTTTTTTTTTT